AACCGCTAATAATAAAAACAGTTGTCAAAATTATCCGAATTATGGACAAAGCAGTGAATAAGTGGTTTGTGATTTATATCCATTTGAGGGCGTGAATTCTTTTATTGCCACAATCAATACCTAGATTTATCGTACCACCATCTGTCGAGCCAGAGGCATTTCTATTAAAGAACATCATTACGATGCCATTTCATGTTGTCACTACAGAGAGGCTTTCAATTCTATTAATCAACTTTATTAATGGTTTCTTTTTGACAGTAAATCTCGTACATCATTTGGCAAGATATATCTAAGACATTTCTTATAAATGTTAGTGATTTAGCCTGGATGTAAGGTTCTATTGAATTTTCAGGAACCTGTGATATTTGATTATATAAATATTCATTTTCCAAACTTCCTTTTAAATCTTTCGTCTTGTATTTCTATGACTTACTTTAATGACAATTTATATGTCTTGGAGATAATTATTGTCTTTTTGAACATTATTAATTAACTTATAGATAATTTAGATAATTTACGAGTAATAAGATGTTCTAGACTAAACGATATATTATTATTGATTAATCTTGGGTAAATTTTTAACTATACACAGTATATATATTTTAAAAAATGGACTAGAAAGTCGTCTTATAAGTTCAGTATTAATTAAATTATTTTCTAATTAATCAGTCTACTAATGATAATGATGTTGATGATGAGACAATTTTAGATTTTATAATAGTGGTAGCAGGCATTGCTAAAAATTTTAAAGATGCAGTTAGACTTGTCCGTGAAAGAACTCTACAACTTTAATGGCTTTTTTTGGATATTGAATTTTTTTGTTTTTTTTATTAATAAAAAAATCAATTAATTATTGAAAATGAATATAAATATAAATAACGAAATAGATTAAATCTTTTTTTCTTTAAATAATAAACATTTTTCTTAATATACAATTAATTAAATTTTTTGGAAAGAAATATATAAAAATATATATGTGTGAATGAATGCAATTAGGTAGGAATGAACTTTTAAAAAGAGATTGATAGATTGTTTTAAAATTAAATGATAAGAATGCTAAAATGAAATTAAAATAAATAAATAAATAAATAAATAAAGTTTTTTTTTATAATTAATAAATTAACAACCCGTTACGTCTATCAACTCCTTTGT